CATCCTGGATTTGTACTTTACGATGGAGTGTTTTTTATTTTTAAATACAAGAATAAAGTCATAACATTATGAGAATAAAGATGAAATATTACAAGAATGAAGTCATCATAATAAGTTGAGGCTAATTTTTCCTCATTTGTGAAACGGATGCCAAAGTATAAAACTTCAAAAGATGCTGGACATTCCTCATTTTAGGGAAGACAAAGGTTCTGGTAAGAATAAGATATGACTTTATTCTCATAATATTATTATACGTAATACGGAGTATTAGGGCCAGGCTAGAGATTTTTTTTTCTTTAAAGTCGTAACATTACGAGAATAACGTCGTAAATTTACGAGAAAAAAAGTCACAATGAGAATAGTCATAAAATTATGAGAATAAAGTCCTAAAATTACGAGAAACAAGGATGTCAAAGTGGACTCTGGTTGCTGATTGGTGGAGCTGGTCAGCCCTCATCTGCTGGACGAAGCTCCAAACTTTCTAACTGAAATGGGTTGTGGACTTTATTCTCGTAATGTTACGACTTTATAATCAAAATAAAAACATTTAAAATCTCTAGCCTGTCACTAACACTCCGTGGTTAATAATAGCACATGGACCACCTGACAAAATTAAAAACTTCATATTGATCTAATATTACTACTTAATTCTCGTTCTATGACTTTATTCTTGTTAATTACTTTATTCTTGTAATGTTATGACTTTATCCTCAAAATAAAAACATTTAAAGTGTGTAATCTGGCCCTAACACTCCGTGGTTAATAATTGCGCTTGGACTACTTGACAAAATAAAAATTTCATATTGATCTAATAAATCGGCAAACCTCCATTAGATGGTGGAACTAGAACTAAAGTAGTAAAACTTCCCACTTTTACTAAATAAAAAATATCCAAGCCGATAACTACTTTTGTTACAAATTGTGTTATTATTGATTCTTGTGTTTATAAAGTGAGTTTTAGTGGAGCAGATGTTCCTGATTGTTCTTTACTTCCTGGTGCTTTAGTCCTTATCCTGTTAAAATAACAGAGTTGTATAACAGCAGCTTAAAACTGTAAACAAATCTCCTTTGAACACAGATGCCTCTGCAGGAAGTTTTATTCTAGTTTTACACATAAATCCATCAAACCAGAGATCTATTCTCACTTCTGATCAGCAGTTAAACTGAAATATATGCAGAATAATTACTTCTTATAACAAAAATTCTTTCAGATTTACTAATTCATGCCCTTAACCTCAAACTAAATCATATCAGGCGTTTAGTTTAGGTCACTTAGTGAGATCCCAAAGGTAAACAAACTGCAGCTGTTAGCATGAAGCTAACTGTAAACAAGATCTTCATCTTTACGTTTGACGTCATTTATTTTTCTCGCCGCGTAATTAAAAACCATCAGTTTAAGTCTTTACTCCGCGCCTGCAGTTTGTAACCAGCTGACAGTATTTAATGCATCATTATTTCAGTAGAAATCATAATAACAACAGCAGTTCCGCGCCAGGCTAACGAGTCCCTACTAGCTGCTAGCGTGTTGTAGTTAGAGAGCTAGTTAGGAAACAAGCTTTGCTAATTATCTGCTGTCTGTGTGCAGTCTAACACATACTGGACCAGGTCTCTGAAGCTCAGGTAAGACAGGATGTGGAGCAGCGGGTCCGAAGGCAGGAGATCCAGCTGTAACTCCGAGGATGCAGCCATTGTTAGCAGGAGATTCACCTGGAGCAGCGCCGCTGCACCGCCCCCTGCTGGCAGGGAGATGTAGCTTTCTGCACCTCATTATTCAACCTGCTGGTTTATTATAGGGAGATGTTAGGAAGGTTAAGCTGTCTAACATTAGGAACAATATTTGTGGTTATTTAAAAAGTTTTAAGAGAAATTAAATATTTAGTTTGTTAAATAAATGTTTTGCCCCAAACTAAATATTTAGTTTGCAAATTAAATATTTAATTTGGAGAAAAATATTTATATTTAGTTTGTTGAATACATATTTTTTCCAAACTAAATAATTAATTATTGTTGAAATGTGGAAATGAAGTGAATTTAATTTTCTTTATTTGGAATAGTTTAAAGTCTGTTCTCTGAGCTACAGGGACCCAGATAGAGAAATTTTAATAGAATAGACATATATTATTTGTTATTTATTTGGAGCTAAAAATTTAACTACCACCAACCTAGCTAAATATTTACTTTGTTAAATAAATATTTATTTAAGAAATTAAATATTTAATTTGCAAACTAAATGTTGATTTAACAAAGTACATTTTTGAGCGACACTTAATATTATCAGCGTTCTGAAGGCATTTTAGCCAAAGGATTTTTATGAAAAACATAATTAATATGCACAAATAAGCTGCAGAATTCGAGGCAGTATTTCTATAGCGCCAATTCACAACACACGTCATCTCAGGGCACTTTCTAAAGGGCCTTGAGATCATCAAGTCAAATTCAGATTCAAAGTTTTCTATCTAAGGAAAACCAGCTGATTGCATCGACTCATTGACTCTT